CAGGAGGCTGGACTAGATGACGTCTTGAAGTCCCTTCCAACCCTAACTTTCTATAGTTCTGTGGCTTTTTTGTTTTAATTCCTAACCAGTATTATGTGACATCAAGTGTATGTTGAACAACAATATACCGTGCTTTAGGGCTTAATATTTTTCTTCTCTAACAATTGTAGCAGTAAAAAAAGAATGAAGCAGTGGACTAATGCTCCAATTTATTTTCTTCTGAAGGCTTTTCATCAGCTACTGGTAGCAGATGACTTTTGTTAATCATGACAAATAATTAATTTCCAGATCTCCGCTATATAAGACGGTGCTTTCATTTTGTTTTATGGGCTTGTAATTCCTAAAGATTAATGAAGGTCTAGATCAAACATTAGATTAGAGAGACTCTGTGCCATAGAATTAAATAGGCTAGCTAGTGCAAAAGGCATCTAATCGGCTTTTAACTAGGGATCTTAGGATAAACCTAACTGAGGCTTCAGTCAAGGAACAGCGGAGGCTTCAGTCAAGGAACAGCGTGTCCTGTCATGTCTTTCCCATTCAATTTTTTTAATGTATTACCTGCTTTCTATTTGTGCTTAACTTGAACTCTGGGAGTAGTACCACTGGCTTCCTGAAGAGGAAGGTCTGAATTAGGGAAGAGGGTTCTGCTGGGTGTTGAGAGAAATATATCTACTAGTAGTTGGTTACATCTTAAAATTGCAGTGGGAAGAAAAATGACCAGTTCTGTCTTGAGTTTCTGCGAAACAGAATTGCTTTGTGGAGTGTTGAAACGTATCATACTAGACGATTGTAATGTGAAAGGCTAAACATGTAAATGATAAGTATATATTTATACCAGTTATGCATTACCAGTTAACGTTTAGCATGGGGCATAGTCCAGTGGGGAAGGGAATTGGCACTGCCTTCGGAAGCAAGGAGGCAGCAGGGTAGGCAGGCAGGCAGGAGGGAGGGGTAAGGGGAAGACTAGTACCCATCTTCTATGAGGCTAAAGAAGAAAACAACAGGCAGCCTAAAGGTTGCTAGCCTAAAGATTAGCTGCTCAGTCACACCTGGATGCTTTGTAGTGAGATAACAGGCTACTTAAAGCTGTCCCCAACCCCTATTGCCTGCTCCCTCCCTCCCAGCACACCAGTGGCTGCAGAGGGCTGGCAAAAGCCCCTTGCCTACTGCTGCCACTGGTGGCTTCATGTGGGCTGTTGTCTGGTGGGTCTTGCTGCTACTACCTCTTTTTCCCCCCCCCCCCCTTACCCCCCAGTCAGAGGCTCTCAGCAGCCAAGTTTGTGTGGCCCCTGGCTCCCCCAGGTTCCTGAGCAGACAGCGGTGGCTCTTCCCCCTTGGTGGGGCAGAGTGGGACAGACACTGGCTCCGCACCCCCCTCCCACCCCCCAGTCGGGACTAGGTGTAGTATCGGTTAACCATTTGGCTGATATACTGTAATTGGAGAAGGTTAAACACATAATTTTAAAAAAATTATATTTACATCCCTGCTAGACAAGAGTACCTCAACTTCTGCTTAATTGTTAAACCAGTATGTTTCTATTCTGTGTTTAATGTTTCCAGTCTCAAAAGTGAATTCCAAATTAAAAAATAATAATGGGGGGGGAATGACCATGTGAACAACTTACCTTTTTCCCCATCTTAATGACAGTGTTTTGGTTTTTTTCATAATGCACGTGCCATGTTGCAGAACAGTGTTTACTTCAATGTTATTTTTAGGTTCTACCCAGTACAAGGAAGCAGAAGGAAATCTTTGTTATACAAAAGGTGCATTTTTACACAAGTAATAGGATTGAGATCACTAGTAATCCTTTCCATGTATGTCACATTGCAGTTCTGGGCGCATGTAGCGTGCCTCTGAAGGTGGAGATTTATCAAAAAAAATCTTTATTGAGACCTAGCCAAATAGTCCCCTTACTGATTGCTTCGGAGTAAGTTTCAAGTATGGTATGAAACACAGGCAGTCTAGGTAAAGTCAGTCTGGCTTATTTTACAGGTATTACAGTGGTGTTTAGGGACACTAACCCAGAATCAAGGCCCCTTAAGCACTGTCCCAAGTAAAAGGAGTCCCTGTTCCAAAGAGCTTCCCTCTTAAGACTTTTGTGACATTACTAGCTCCCATTTTGTAACTCCCCAGAACTGGAAGGTCAAAACCTGCTTGTCTGAGGAGGAAATTTCTAAATGTAAGTTACTGTGGTTAGATATTTAGTTGCATCTTAGGAAGAGAATAGCAGGGTGGTACTTCTGCAAATACAATGATAGGAACACTTTTGTTTTTGTTTAGCATGATATTATATGACCTCTGAGCCTTTCCAGTTGAATCTGATTTCCTTGATGTTTGGCCAAAAAAAAATGTCTTGCCTTGCTTTTTAAGCATTATTGTACAGTTCAGTATGAGATGGGACAAATGTTGCTGAAATCAACTGAGGGAACAGCTCATTTTTCTTATAACCATAAAACGGCTTTTTAAATGTGAGCCAATAGAAGTCAGTGGGAATTTTTCAGTAAGCACTGTGGATTGGTACCAATATTTATGGTGCTGCCTACAGACACGGACTCCCATAAAAAGCATATTTCCTATCCAAAATCCATTGTCATCTGAAATCTGTAAGGGAATAGTATCCCCCAGCACTGTCCTGAGCTTTTTTTTTTTTAAGCCTGCTTCTTGTTGTGGGAGTTGTGGGAGAACTAATTGGGGAAGGGAAATGCAAATTATTCTGATGGGCGGGATAAACATATCCAGGATAGTGTCATTGAAACCCTTGCAGAACTAGAGTAATATGGTATTTTTTGGTCATGTGGCTAAGGAAAATCTTTTAACTGCTTGGTTTGGCTTTATAACTGAAAGAGTAAATATAATGGAAGGTTTGTGTCATATATGCACAAACCTATATAAAATTAATAAAATTAACTTTTAAATATAAAATTAATGTTTAACCTGGAACTTCAAACCCCAGAAAAGGGGGGAGCATTGTTTGACATCTTGCTTCCCCTGAAATCCATGGAAAACCCATTGATGCATTCAAAGGTTTGGAGTCTTCAATTTGCCTAGCTATTTTAAGGTCATTCACTTCTTATTTTGCATTTTGCCTTAAAGCTTAAAAAAAAAAAAAAGTCTTGCAAGATGCTGAATCTCTGGTCCAATCTAGTCAAATACTTCAGTGTGTGGGTGTCTTTAAGCATATAAATGGTCCATTAATGAATGAAGTAGAACTACTCACTTGCTTAAAATTAATTGTGGGAAGTTCTGTACTAGATTGAGCCAAAGCTTTTAACAGTTGGCAGAACTGTCAGAAGTCTCCAGCACCCTGTGTAAAAATTTGTAATGGATTCCTGCTGTGATAATAGGATTTGTTTTTTTGTCCATTATTTTCATTAAACTAGACATCTAAAGGACACTTTCTGGGATGTATGTAATGTGGTCTTTGGGTCTAGAAGTCTGTAAGAAAACAACTGGATGAAAAACAGTGTTATTTGTATAGCTTTTAAAAGAACGTTGTTTTTAAGTCTTACTGTTCCACACACTATCTCGTGGACTAGGCTCGGATTAGAAATGAAAAGAGATCGTAGCATGGGCAGGATGGTATTTTGTAACAAAGGGATTTGACTTCCGAAGACCCATTAATTTTGTTCTCAGTTTGGCCCTTTTTTTTTAATGGAGGCCAAAGTATAATGAGTAGGTGATCATGTTCTCTTCCCTATAATTCATGGTTGTTTTGTTCCAGAGTTTCTCAAGGTTGTAAGCTTTGGGGCTGATATTGAAGGTGCCAAAGTCTAATTCTTATTTGAAAGTTCTTATTTCAAATTAATATTGTACATTTATAAATAAAATAAGAGATTATTTCAAATAATAAATATTGGGCCTGTGTGAATAGGGAAGTATTCGATTCTGATTTGGATTTGTCTGATTTGGAAGACAGCAATTCAGTTTAGTGATTCGAATTACTGTCCCCATTCAATTCAGCCGAATCAAGATTGGAAATTTGGCACTGATTGGGATCAGCTGGGAAGAGGCAGGATCAGCCGGGTGGCTGCAGGTTCTCCTGTGGCTCTTCCAGCTGTGCCTGCTTCTGCCTGGAGTGGGGGGAGCCATGGGAGAAGCCTGCATGGCTGCCCTGCCCTGCCCAGCCCAGCCCAGCCCCAGCCTCCTGGCACTCTAAAGAAAAGGGGGGGAAGCCCTGCACTCACAGCTGTAACAGCAGTGATCAGGGCCTCTGAGAGCTCATTCAGAGCCCCCCCTCCCTCTCCGAGCAGTGGAGATTGCCCCCCTGCTTGGCACCCGTGAGGCAGCTGTCACATGGTATGGGTGCAGTGCGGCTCAGCAGGGTGCTGCACACTGTCCAGGAGCTGGGGCTGACCGCTGCCAGGCTCTAGCAGTTGGCTGGAGTCCAGCCATGGGGCTTCTCCCATGGCTCCCCCCACTCGGGGCAGAGGCAGACGCAGCAGGAGGAGCTGTTGAAGAACCTGCAGCCGCCTGGCTGTGCCTGCCTCTCCCCAGCTGATGTGAACCTCCGAATCTCTTCCAAATCAATTTGGAAGCTTTGGATTCTATTCAGACCTCTTTAATGGATTTTTTTTTTTTTCAGAGATTTGGTCACCGAATCGGGTCAAATCTCCTCTGAATCGAATTGGCAACTGATGCTTTGTACAGCCCTAATAAATAAAAACAATTATAAGATATTATAATGCAATGGTGAATTCTGTTACATGCTTTGTCTGTAAGGGATGTAGGGATAGTACCTTTGGTATGTCATAGCCATCTGTTTGAGCTATTAAAAAAGAAAAAAATTGTGCATGTTGGCTTTGCTAGCAAAGTTGATTCTAAATCTGTTGAAAGTATGGCCTTCCACATTTTTGTTTTGTAAATATTTGGCTTTTTCCCTTGAACAAAAAAGATTAAATATTTTAATGAGATTTATTAGGAAAACAGTCTATTAATGTTAGCAATCTGTGCACAGAAGACGCTTCATTAATTTCTGACAGATAATATATTTATTTTGCAGGTTATCGTCTGAATATTTGGATCTTGCTTTTTTTGGAAGTGTTCCCTTGCATTCTTAACGAACCATGGACATCACTGGGTTTCTGAAGTCTCAGTTCATTTGTCACCTTCTTATCTGTTATATATTTATAGTATCCGGACTAATAATTAACTTCATTCAACTCTTCACACTTATACTCTGGCCAATCAACAAGCAGCTCTTCAGGAGGATCAATTGCAGGCTGGCGTACTGCATTTCAAGCCGTAAGACTACTTATTTAATTTAAACTTTTATGTCCATACCTTGTCCAATGAGTGAGTTCTTAGTTTAATATCAGTTTTTGAATTGCTGTGTAAAATCCCTACCCTTTCACATGCTTTTCAAGGTATGTTTTGTCAAAATGTGCTAGCATATAACTGCTATTGATATTGGACCATTCACTTGATGTTGATTTTAAGGGGGAGACTTTTCATCACCCTAAGCTCTATTCCTATTCTCTCAAGAAAATAATATTGAGAAATCAGAGAATGATTAAAACTAAAATTCAGTGGCATCATGTTGGTAACTGTATTGTTACATACATTAGGATGAAAGAAATTTATAATATCTCTGTGTGGAAATCTACTTGGAGTAAGCTAATATATTTTTTAAATTGGGTAAGTCTTCCAATTTTCAGTACTGTTGGAGTCATAAGGTGTGTGCTTAAGTGACTAATTACTAGGGCTCTGCAAAGCTTCAGTTTCTGATTTTAGATTCAGAGGAGATTCAGCCTGATTTTTGGGGCTGAATCTCCGAATCCAAATCGAATCAGGAGAGCCATTTAATCTCTCCAAATTGAATTGGAGGCTTCCGATTTGGAGATATTTGATCATTTGGCCAGAGACAGCTTTAAATGTTTTTTTCTACGTACCTCAAGGTACCAGGCAGCTTGTAAACACTGAGATTGAGACGCTCTATCCGCCCCACCTAGGAGCGTGGGGGGAGGGCACCCCCCTGGCTTGGCGACTAGTGCCTCCTGGGTCTGGGGGGGCACCCAGCGTCCCTCAGCAACTGATCACTGCGCCAGGAGGGTGCGGCGGGCATCCCCCACACACTCGGCAGCATACCTGGAAACGGACCAGAAGTACTTGCGGTCCACTTCTGAGTCTGCTGCCAAGCACATGGTGGGGGGGGGACTCGCCACACTCCTGTGGGACGCCCCATCTGCCCCACTATCTCGGCGTTCATGAGCCGCCTGGTATCTTGAGATGTACAGAAAGAGCATATTGCTGATTTTGCTGAATCGGAATAGAATCTTCAGCTTTGACAGAACCAAATTGGGACGGTGATCTGAATCAACTAATGGAAATGCTGTCCCCCAAATTGGGCCAAATCTGAATTTGAGTACGGCCCACTTTTGCATA